AGGGTCTTGCTATGTAGTTTAGCTGGCCTTGAACTCACTATGTAGTCCAGGATGGCCTCAAACTTGTGGCAGTCCTTCTGCCTCCTGCCTCCTAAGTGCTGGAGTTAACAGCTGTGTACCACTATGCACCACCCGGCTAAAGAAGACAAGATCTTTCTAAATGCAGGTCCTTACAGAATTTTTAGCAAGTAAATAAAATATCGATGAAAGGTATTCAACAAACTTTGTCCAGGTTAAAAGGGTTCAATTTCCCAAACAAATGAATTATTTGAAAGGCAACAACTCCCCCTAATGCCAACAGGAGGGAGAATGGCAGAAAGTGACAAGACTGTAATGTTTGTATTGCATCTGTTTTAAACAGACAGGAGGTGCTCAAGGGATTACATTTCCTCAGTGTACAGCAGCTGTGGCTCTGGGACTGGCAGAGGCCCTGTGGCTACCACCTGAGTCTCACCACTCGCTTTCCTCAGAGGAAACAGGAACACCGACTATGACTCCCACCCTCTCTCCCAGGGTCTTGCCCCACCTGGGCATTTGGCTGGACCCTCACAGACCATCCTGTCTCCACCCTGTCCAAGGACACTTGTACAGAACTCGAGCCTGAGCAGGAGCTCAGCCCCATGGGTTTGAAGCACTATAGGCTTCTCACTCCGTGCCCTGTCAGCTCTCCTCTCGTGACTCTGGTGGGACCAGGGGTCCCCAGCTTCCACTAACTTCTTTTTTACCACCCTCTAGCTCTGTGCTGTGATTCTCTGGAACAAGACAACCAGAAAACATGTCCCGGGAGAGAAAGGACAGGAAGAATACTGAGGGGGTTAGGGCCTTCCTAAGGGAGAGCCAGAGAAAGAGGACTACTAAACCAGTTCGTAGGGTTGAGTTCATAGACTTCAGTGAGAAACAAAGCTGTGCCTTGAAGCTTTACCTCTTCCTGGCCCTATTTTTACCTCTAGGCTGCCTTGCCAAGTCCATTGCCAGGTACATATTGTAGTACATATTTCCAGGCTCTTATGTCCCATTTAAAGACTTGGACAAAACAATTGAATGAGAAAGTTTAACATTTATTTAGGGCAAAAGAAGTGCTCTGCAGAGTGAGTGTGGGCCGGGTAAAGCAGGAAAGGAAGTACAGCCTACAAAATGCAGGGTAGGCTGATGAAAAGGCTTACAGCAACCACAAATTTAAAGGCCATCATCTTTTATATCCCCTGCTCAAGCATTATATTTAAGCCATTCTATCTAAAACCTGCTCAATCTCGTGCCAGAAGATTGATATCAGGTTCAGTGCTCAGTTTGAACTTGTGCCAGAAAAACTGAAGACAGCATTTCCTGACTGAGGTCTGGTGCAGGACTCAGAAGCTCGCTCTTCACATACCCTGTCTCTCTGTGATTAACAGGTCCCTATGTTTGACAGGTCAGGTTCCACTGCCCAGCCTCCTTGCCATGCCCTGATCTCCTGCCTCAACTTCAGTACTTGGGATCAAACCCAGGATCTTCACAATGACCTACATCCCCAGGATTTTTAAAATTTTTTTTCTTTTGAGACAGAGTTGTTGTGATGTGTGACCATAGGGTGGTGCAGAGGATGAAAACATTACTCAGAGGTGAAACTTGGTCCAAACAGAGAGACCCAGAGGGACTGTCTGAGAGAGCCCAGTGCAAGGGTGTTTCAAGGGAGCAAGTCCTGAGCTGAGAACTCTTTGGCTTTTATTTAGAAAGTCAGTGCAAGAAGAAAAACAGCTTGGGTAAAGAGCTGCATCAAGCTGTATCAGGGCAAGGGCAAGGACAACAGCCAGACACAAGCTTCACTAAACTTCTTGTCGCTTTCCAACTGTGCTGTGCTGAGTACACAAGACACAGACCCACGTGCTTTTGCCCCCGCTGATCCCTTCACAGTTTAACCACTCACTCTGTTCAGGGCCTGTTGCTTTTGCCCCAAAGGCCCCTTCATGACTAATCATTCATTCCTCTTGCCAAGTCTCCCACACAATGTCTCACGAAGTCACTACGTTGCCCAGGCTGGACTTAAATTTTCATTCCTCTTGCTTCAGTCTCCCAGGGTGCTGTGATTATAGATATGCACCACCACGCTCAGTTTCAGTGTCTACTTAATTAAAGCTTGTGGTTTCATTACCTTTCCAGACCTTTTAAAAATATCTTTCATAATGATTTTTTTTCAGAGGAGGTACTAGCTCAAGCAGAAATTAGTAAAAAATGTTTATTGAAAGCTTACTCTGTGCTAAATCTATTCTCTATCCTCACAACTTTTTGTTTGTTTGTGTTTTGAGGTAGGATCTCACTATGTAGTTGAGACTGCCCTGGAACTCACTGCGTGCCCAGGCTGATCTCCTGAACTCACAGTGATCCTCCTGCCTCAGCTTCCCAAGTGCTGGGATTATAGGCATGCACCACCACACCCAGCCCTCACAACTCTTTGAAGCAGAAATCAGTGTTAAACAGGTTAGTTGATCACTTGTTGTGGCACATGCAAACCTCAAAGAACAATGGGCATCTGAATGTTTGCTTGAGGGATTTAAAGGAGGAATTAAGGAAAGTGAATGCTTTGATCTGGATTAGATGCTGTCTATAAATGGATATGCTGATAATTTTTTCTAGAAGGAGGGGAGAATATACTGACACTAAAACTGCAATCTCTACATGAGCCATGGTAGGGAATTTTTTCATTGTTGTGATTTGGGCAACGCTCATGTATTGTCTGGGTTCAGGCTATCTTGATCCTTTCTGCTCACAGAGTGATCATGTTCAATGTTGATGTTTTGTGACATTTTTATATTCAAGACGAGAATGTCAAGGTCTACTTGTAAGTGCCAGGCTAGCTCCTGAATGTCAAGGGCTGTTTCTCTCTTTCTTAGTGCCTAAACTCAAATCCAGGTTTGTGTGACTGCAAATATCCCCAAGTGACCTCTTGTTCACAGATGACAGACTTTTTCGTATAAGTTTATTTTTCCTGTCGTGGTATGGTTACTGTGTATTTGGGCCCAATCCCTTGTAAAATTGTAGGCCCTAAATGTTTGTTGAGTGAATGAAACAATGAAGATGATTGTTAAGGATGACTGCCTGGGAGAAAATTGCAGCTCTACCACCAATCAGAATGTTACTTGATACAATATATATTAATAGTTAATCCTCAATCCATACACAAATTTTGTTACTTGCCCCAATATTGTCTTTTACAGCTATTTTGCTACATCAGCTGAGGCCAGGATCCAATGTAGAATCACACACCATATCTTTGCCATATATTCTCAGTCTTCTTCATGCTCAAAAGTGGCTTTTCATGACCTAATAGTTATTTACAGAGCATCCCTCAATATGAATTTATCTAATGTTTCCTCATGAAATTGAGTTTTGGGCCATGCACTTTTTTTCTATATGGAAAATGGAGCCCAGGGCTTCTGTAAGGCTAGACAAGTGCTTTAGGACTCACTCTCAGCCCCCAAGGTCATGCACTTTTAACAGAAAAGCCCCAGAAAAAATGTTATTTCCCTCTCAGTGCATCTTACTAGGAAGCACATGATCTTTATTTCTCCCGTTATTGGTGATGTCACCAGCGAACATGGGTCCTTGCCTCAGTGATAATGGAAATCAAAACTAAAGCAACAGTATGACTTTACAGGCAAAGCTTTAATTAGAAGGTAAGAGAAGATAAGGAAAGAACTCCAGCTTGAGTAATAGTGGGAGGATACACACTCTCACGAAGAGGGTAAGACTGACCCACAACAAAGGACTGGGGGCCAAAGGACCATGGTCCAGTCCATCATTAGCTCAGTCCTGATTGCGCTGTTCCAGAGGAATCCTCATGTCTTGAGTAATTTAATTCTTGTGAGAGGCTCTGCTGGACTTCAAGACAACCATAGGTTTAGGGCAATGGAGATTCTGGGAGTAGTTGAATGTAACTCTCTTATCCTGGTCTTGTCAGTCTTAAAGGGTAATGAGATAGTTTGATAGACTTAGGACTAATAACCCTTGTTTTTCCAACTTTTAGATAGACACTCCCTGAAAGACTAATATGCAGAGCTGAAAAATATTTGACTCGGGGGTTTTACCAAATGAAAATCAAGTTTTGCTCTACTTTTAGTTACCTATTGGACATTTGTAGGCCCAAGTGAGAAGCCACTGTGTTTAGCAAAAGGCACGTTTAAGTCTCATGTCACAAGAAGACACAAATCATGGTTTTAAAGTCCCAGGAGTTTGTCCTCTGTCCCTATAGTGGTCTCTGACTATGTCATGACTTTGTCCAAGTTACCCTTGATCACTTGGACTTATTCGTTCCGCTAGGTGTAACCTCTGTAACATTAGTAGTTTCCCTTTGTAATCAATAAGTAATTTGTAGGAGTCATTCTGTATAAACAGCCTATTTCTCTATTTTATCATTTATGATTTTTTAGCTCCATCATGTTCATTCATCGGCATTTTACTAAAAGGAAGAGTTTATTCACTTTCTCATTTATGTCAGTAAAAATTTATGGATTGATATTTTATTCAATGGGCTGTACACTATTACGATTTCATGCTGAAGTTGCCAGATTTGGCCAGTGAGCTCCTCAAGGTAGCTCCTGTTTCCTTTTACATGTTCCCATCGTTATCACCATCATCCTTACAATCTGGTGAATCAAGACCCTCTAAACTTATCTAGGGCCGGAGATTTAGCTCAGTGGTTGTGCCGCCCGCCTCGAAAGAGCAAGGACCGGATTTCGATCCACGGTACCAAAAAAAAAAAAAAAAAGCATTTCCGGAATCGCCCTTTTCTTAAAGGAGCGCAGACCCCCAGGCTCTTCAAAAAGCTACCAATGGGCCGGGCGTGGGGCGCTCGCCTGTAATCCCAGCACGCGGGAGGCAGAGGCAGGAGGACCGCTGTGAGTTTGAGGCCAGCCTGAGCTGCAAAGTGTGACCTTGCCTCAAAAAAAATTTTAAAAAGCTACCAAGTCGGTGTTCCTCCACTTCCTGCCTGTAGGTGGAGCCCTAGAGCCCAGACCTGGGCCAGCTGAGTCGCGGACCAACCTTTTCCGGTTGTGGCCGGAAGTCTCTGGAGAGGGGCGGCTCCGCGTGACCCGAGTCCGCGTAGGAGGGGTCGAAGGTCTCGTCCCAAAGGCTGACGAGGCGGGAGAACTGGCTGGTAGGCCGAGAAACTGGTGGGCTGGAGCGGCGTCGGCGGCGTTCCGTCAGCGGAGGAAGGTACGTGACAGGCGGGGGTGGTGGCAGGGGCCGCCTAGGCTGCGGACCCCCGGCCACCGAGCCTGAGCTCAGCGGCCCAGAGAGGAACCTGGCCGTGACTGGGGCTCTCGGTCCCAGAAGAAAGGTCAGGGCGGTGTGGTCTTCCTTTCCTGAAGAACAGCACCGGGAAACTTGAGCCCTGAGAAAAGGAAGGGCTTCCTTTCCGGACGAGGGCTCACCAGGACGCCCTTTCTTTTCTCGGTACGCGATGGCCGCCCTGGTGTGGCAGTGTTTGTAATCAACTTGCCCTGGGTGGAGAGACAGCGAAGTGAACAGATTTGGGAGGCGGGAAAGAAAGCGATAAGCGGTAAGGGACTGAGACCTGGCCTCCGACTGCCCGTTATGTTCCGTAGGCCAGATCTTTTTCGTGTGCTGAGCCTAGTTTTCTCACTTGTAAAACGGGACAGTGTTTCTCAAAATACGGTTCTCGTACCATCTGCTTTGAAATCCTCAGAGATGCCAACTCTGCATTGTTGAACTCAAACCAAACACCTGGTTTGGAATCTGAGTTTCGAACTGAGGAAACGTCTTTTGAACGTCAGCTTCTGGAATCCTATACATACTGATTTCGAAGCTCCTTTGGTCTTGGGTGCTTTCCTTTCTTCGCTTTGAGGCAACTGGAGCCATTTCTGGAACTTTGGAAGAACTGGGATGTTTAGCCTAGAAAAGAACACTGAACGGAAAATAACAGTCTTTTTTTTAAAAGGGGGCTGGGTTTTAGCTCAGTGGTTCCGGCGCCTGCCTCGAAAGCTCAAGGACCAGAGTTCGATCCCCGGTACAGAAAAGAAAAGAAAAAAACCCACACAGAAAAAAAAAAAGAGAGAGAGCTTCCACATCATCTTTGGCTAGGCAGACGGGCAGACCTAGGACTATTAGGTGGATTCTACAGGAGCACAAGATTTTTTGCTTAATATAAGAAGAATTTAATGGAAAAATCATCAAAGATGACCAGTGATGGGATGTATTGTCCAGTTATGGAAGAAATTATTCAGATGTTAGATGACATTCCTTTCCAACTTGAAAGTCTCTGATTCTAAGTTGTGTTAATCTTTCCAGTACTGGCTCTACCAACAGAGTAAATGTGATTTTTCTTTTCATGTCTTCTCTATCCTCCAATATACATTTCCTGTGTGTAAGTCCAACACACTTGAGTTTATGTAATCTCTTCCTGGTCAGCATCTGTCTTTTCGAGGACTTTGGAATGACTCCACATCTAATAGAGGTGTCTGAAATGTTTGTTTTGTGAATTATTAAACAGGAAGCCATCACATCAGTTAATTTTCTAAGAACAACTTGCAAATGCCTCTGAAAACTGTGTGACAGAAGCCAGTGAACTCTTTGGGGACACACGGTGGAGGACCCCTTGAAGCTGGTCATGCCAGCCTTCTCTTCCCTGGGTCATAAATCCTTAAGCCTTTCTTTTCCCAGCAGTGTGTGTAGATGTGAGAGAATTTTTGCAGTCCATAGATAAGCTTTCCATTCAGCGCTTTTCTTATGGATTTGACTTGTCAGTTTGTCCTCTCTTAGATGTAATCTATAGATGATACTTCTAGCGTAGCTTTAGTTTTCTAATGAAATTTCCTTATTTTGTCATTTATAAGCACTAGGTCACTTTTCTGCCCCCTGTTAGAATGCTCAAGATTGTTTTATGTTGTCTTATGGAGCAGAGATGCCATGTTATGAGCCAATTCTGCTGACCATGCCACCCCCCCATAAAAAGGTTGGTGGGATTAAGCTAAAACTTCATGCTTGATGCTTTTCTATTTGTCTATCTGTCTTTCTTTTTCTTTTTCTTTTGAGACTGTCTCACTATGTAATTCAGGCTGGTTTGGAACTTGAGGCAGTCCTCCTGCCTCAGCCTCCCAAGTGCTGGGGTTACAACACCACACCTGGGATTACCACCACACCTGGCCTGTTTCTGTTTCTTGGGTTTTGTTTTTTTTGTTTTGCTGGTAGCAAGCATCGAACTCAGGACCTTGCACTTGGGAAGGAGGCAGAAGCACAATGCCACTGAGCTAAACCCCCAACCCTGTGTTTCTTAAGATTAAAAGAAATGTGAAATGCTTACTGAGATGTTACATATGTGGTGTTGGATAAAATGCCTTTTATTTGTAGAAGTTTTAAAAACTTCTCAGTCTGGGAGTTTCCTTTTATAAAAATATCTGAATTGGTGCTTTAATACGTGTGTTCTTCAGACCACTGATTTGAAGAGATGCCTCTGATAAGCAGGGTTCGATGATTAAGTTTGGGGAAAGCTGCATACTATCATTCTTAGAGTGTCTGTATTTAGTACCATATGAAGGCTCTAAAAGATCCCGCAATAAATAAATCATCTTCAAAGCTAGAGTAATACCTTATTTCATTTGTTTAACCTGGTGTTGACCGTTGTTTGATGTGAAACCCCCTCCTCTTTTTTAAATTGAAGCATACATTGGCAAGTTCTGACCTAAAGTCAGAAGTTATAGGCCAATTCTAGCCCAACTGCTTGTTTCACTTTTTTTGTTATTGTTATTTTGTTTTTTTGAGACAAGGTCTTGCTCTACAGTTCAGGTTGGCTTTGAATTCACTATGTAACCCAGGCTGACTTTGAATTCGAAGCAGTTCTCCTGCCTGGGTCTCCCAAATGCTGGAATTACAGGCATGTGTCACCAAACCCAGCCCACATTTTTAAGTGGGGAATAAATCAAAAGAATATTTCATAATACATGGCATTTGTAGGAAAATTGAATGTCAGTGTTTATTTTAGCCATACCTTTTTTTTTTAAGTAACCGGGAACCGGGGATTGAACTCAGGTCCTTGCGCTTGCGAGGCAGTCGACAGAACCACTGAGCTAAATCCCCCCTCCTTTTTTTTTTTTGAGACAGAGTCTTACTATGTAGTTGAGACTGACCTGGAACTCACTACGTAGCCCAGGCTGGTCTCGAACTCACAGCAATCCTCCTGCCTCAGCCTCCCCAGTGCTGTGATTACAGACATGTGCCACCACGCCCAGCTCAAACCTATTTATTTTATTTACTGTATTACTTTAGACTGTTCTGCTACAGTAGTGGAGTTGAGTAAATACTAAAGAATTTGTGGTCTACAAAGTCTAAAATGACCTTTTTTTTTGAGACAGGGTCTTACTATGTAGTTGAGACTGACCTGGAACTGTGTAGCCCAGGCTAGTTTTGAACTCACAGCGATCCTCCTGCTTTAGCCTCCCAAGTGCAGGGATTTCAGGTGTGCGCCACCACACCTGGCTTTAAAGAAAAACACTTGCCTGTTCATGACCTGTAAAATTTACATTACTTTTTAACATTTAATTTTAAAACAATTTTAGACTTTAAAATCTTTAGGGCCAGGGATTTAGCTCAGTGACACTGTACCTGGTTGGCAGTTGCAAGGTCCTGAGTTGGATCCCCAGTACCAGGAAAAAAATTTTTTAAACTTTAAAAATATTCCACTCAGGGCCGGAGATTTAGCTCAGTGGTTCGGTGGCCTGCCTTGCAAAGCAAGAACCCAAGTTCAATTCCCGGTACCAAAAAAAAAAAAAAAATTCCACTCACTCCAAGTGCACTGTTTACTTGATTTCTCTTGTTAACATTTAACTATATTAAAATTACCTAAGCAAGAAACTTAATTTTTGGGGGTTTGGGGTTTTGAGACATGGTCTCATGATGTAGTTCAGACTGCTCTGGAACTCACTGTGTAGCCCAGGCTGGTCTTAAAGTCTCAGGGATCCTCCTGCCTCAGCCTCCCGAGTGCTGGGATTACAGGTGTGTGCCACCATGCCTGGCCAACAAATTTAATATTGATAAGATACTAAGCTGTAGACTTTATTCAAAATTTACCATTTGTCCTAATTCTCTGTCTGTTCCAGAATCTCAATCAGATGTAGTCATGTCTCTTTAATTTATTCTCTTCCAATCTGGGACAGTTCCTTACTCTTGTTTGTCTTATATGACTATAGACTTTTTTTTTTCCAGTATTGAGCTGTGAACCCAGGTTCCTTCCACTGGAACCTTTATTTTTTACTTTGAGTTAGTGTCTAAGTTGCTCAGGTAGGATTTGGGATCCTTCTGCTTCAGCCTTCCAAGTGCTGGGATTACAGGCATTCACCGCTGCACCTGGCTTATGACTATAACTCTTTTGTTCTGTTTTGTTTTTTATTTTTGGAGACAGAACCTCACAGTGTAGTTTAGGCTGGCCTTGAACTCACTATGTACCCTAGGCTTTCCTTGAACTCAGAAATCCTTCTTACCTCAGTCTCCCAAATGCTAGGATTACATACATATGTGTGCCACCATGGAGACTGTAAATTTTTTTTTTCTTCCTCAGGGACTGGAGATGAAACTTGACCTTGTGCATGCAAGGCAGGCATGGTGCCACTGAGCTAAATCCCTAGCACTAGACTGTAAATTCTTGAATAGGACTGGGAAGTTATTTTGTAGCATGTCTCTCTGAAACTTTTTTTTTTTTTTTTAATTGGCCCTGGGGATCAAACCCAAGGGCATTCTGCCACTAAGTCACATTCCTCCAGTACTCTCCCTTCCTTCCTTTCTTTCTTTCTTTTTTTTTTTCTTTTCTTTCAATTTTAAGACAAGATCTGGCTTAGTTACCCAGGCAGGACCTGCACATGCAATCTTCCTGCCTCATACTTCCTCAGTGGTGGGGTTACAAGTGTGCCACCGTACCCACTTTTTTGAGATATAGTTCACATGCAATAAAATTCACTTATTTTAAGATGTATAATTTGGTGGGCTTTAGTATATTCACAAGGTTATAGTCATCACCACTGTATAATTCCAGAACATTTTTATTATCCTCTCACAAAAAATGCTGTACATGATAGAAGTCACTCTTTTCTCCTCTCTTTCCATCTACTGACAACTGCTAACCTTGCTTGTCTTTGGATTTGAAAGTTCTGGACATTTAATATAAATGGAATTATATAATATGTGGCCTTTTTTTTTTGGTACTG